AGATAACTCAAGGCACAATACTAAAATGAATTATCAAAATCAAATTATAGACAAATTGATAAAATCGAATTAGAAATAAATGATAAATTTAAATTTTTAAAAATGCGTTAAACCATCAAAATACACAAATAAAATTCACTATTACCCACATAACAATTTTAGTCTTCCCTTTTTTGATGTTTGGAAAATTCAAGATATGGTTTGATTTGATTCCAATTGATTATTAAATAATGTGCAATTCTCTCTTGAGCTCTCAAGCCCTCATGCATTCAACAGTTAATGTGCATAAAAAAGTTGATAGGTATCTCGTAAAATCTCCCCTTTGACAAATATAAAAAAAATCCAAAAAAGTAAAACTAAAATGTACACCAACATATGAAACCACAACATCATATAACCACACTAGTTACATGCACAATTCACATTAGTTGCATAATTGAGCACAAAGCAAACAACAATTGCAATCAAGCTCAATATAGACAGAATTTCAAATATAATTTTGAACAACTGATATACAAATTGCAAATAAGATAATTACTAATAATCAAATAAACAAAAATTTCCAAAATACACATGAATGTATTATCAACAAAAACCAAGCACATTACGACAAAAATTTGTAAGACACGACATAAATAACAAATAAATATCCAGAAATAAAAATTAAAATAATCTAAAATAAGATTAAATGTGTAGTATTATATTTGTGAGGGTCCTCAACAAAGGTGACTCTTGGGTTCCCGCTTGGAGCGATGTCGCCTAGGCGTCATCCCCTTAGAACATGAGGGCTTTCCTTGGGGACATATGATGTGTATTATGCCGTTATCTCCCGTTATTTATGTAAGAGAGAGTCTTACCATGACTACCTGAGAAATAGGTAGTCAACAGTCTCTCCTAATCACGGGAGAGCGATTGCTACCCCTTAAGATTTTCCCAAACTTTAGACCCAAAAAGGCCTATATAAATACTTCTCCCCAAAGAGGAGAGGATGACCGAATCCATACACTTATAGCTAAGTATTAAATAAATACACTGAGCCTCTCACCTCACATGAGTAGGTACTCTAAACCACCATAAACACCAGCATACAGGGCTTCTTGCCGCTGTGGGAAAACTCTAACCAACATATAGCAAAATATACTTACTAAGGCCTCTAAGTGCTTCTTCCCTTGCAGGGGTAACATGAACATATGTACTTTTTGACCAGTACGAAATTTAATGATATGCATACTAAAATATCATGGGAGGTCGGATGAAAAAAGGTCATCTCTGGCAAAATCTGAAATGTTAAAAGAAAGATTTAAACCATTTGCAACAATGACTTCCTTAAAGGATATAAGCAAAACCATCAATATTTTCTCCCTCGCCTTTGTAGCCTTCTCTTGGCATGCTTCATATTCCTGAGAATCGACCTGAATCCTATCAATGTAACTACCGAAGTAGGCTTTAACAAGGGGAGTTAGACCATCATATGACATAAGAAAAATGATTGATTTGCTTTCCATGGCACAAATCCTTCATGGGCTTCCTCACAAGAAAAAAACATCTCTTCATAGATCCTACAGAAGCGTCATAGTAGTACTATTTTCCTTTCTTGTCCTAATGATACTTTATCTTCTTCGCAACATGAACGTAAACAATATTCGGTACCCTAATGAGACCATACTCAATACATAAAACACCATTCTTTTCCATAATCTTCTGAATGAAGGAAGTGTAAAAGAGAAGTCGATCGACTTCACTTTGTAAATCATTATCAGGTCAATGATAAAATTCACCCAGTTGACTTCTGATCGAGTGAGCAATAGCCCCAGAAAAATTAAATCAGATTCATTAGCACTGACCCAATTTCTTGACTTTATATACAAGATTATAACAGTGATTCAATGGAGTATCCTTATATCGCACTCCATCTGGATGATGAGAAACTCGTGATTACCATGTTTCCTTGAACTTAGACTTGAAGGCATACTACATAAATGGAATATAAAAATACTCTTTAGCCTACTTATGAGGATTCACTTCCATACCTTTGTTTTCTAGGCCTAGAATGCATAGAAATCTTCAAAAGTGAACCTAACTATATCCTTTTTATGAATTTATATTCAAGGTCATTTCTGATTGTAATAAAAAGCATTCATGTGGTCTGGATTTAATTTATTGTTTGGACCCAAAAATTTCATCAGGCTATAGTTCTCAAATAGTTGTAAAAAAATCATTTTCAACTTTGGTTCAACTTCTTTGGTAACAAAATATTCATGATTATAACTTTTGTTCAAAAACACTAGATGAGAAACCTTGAAATCGTCTTTATTAATCAGATGATTCACTTTATGCAAAAGAATAGAGAAATTTGGAGTAGAAGAGGTAAAGCCAACAAATGGATTTGGGATGAATACCTTGGCCCCTAATTTAGAAGTGTTTTCCTTTTCTTTTTGAGCATGGACTGAATTGCTTCTTAGTGGAGACTGATGGAAGAGATGGGTTTGAGCTGAGTAATTTTTCTTTGGTTGCTTTAGATGTTTTTCTAGTTTTTTTCATTGATTAATCACGAAGAAATGATGAATTTGAGTTGATTTAAATTGAACGATGAAGGTTATATATATATATATATATATATATATATATATATATATATATATATGAAGGAGTGAATAGTAAAAAATAATAATTTTAAGTATGAACAAATGAATATATGAGATGAGAAGACGAAAGATTTCTATAATTAAGATTTATTTAGAATGATACAAACTAAGATCAACAATGATTCAAATATGCATGCAGTAGAAATTTACTTGATTCGGATCAAGCATATGTATGATTTGATTATAATTCATTAAAACTCTACAAAGATTTTTTTTTATTCCAATCAAGCCTATTTGTGATTCAAGGCTTTTTGGCATAGATGGATTGGTGAGAAATGCCACAATTATTAATGTGATTCAAACAATGTGATGATTCGAATTAGATGCACGTTTATTTTTTTTTTAGAGATTAGTTGTTATGTATTGTTAATGTAAAAAATTTTACACTATTAATGCATCATAATCATTCGTTGATAATATTTTCTAAATGGTTAAAATAAAAGTTAAATATTTTAAATAGATCAGCGGTTGTAATTAACTGACAATGTAAAAATTCTTTAAACTGTCCGTTAGTGTATATCAATTAATTTTTTTTAAAATATTAATATCAAACTAAAGAGTGGTAAAAATCCGGATAATTTATGCTCTTTTTTTTAAGTGAGAGGTGCAATCTACCATGTGTAGGAACCGTTATGGATTTGTGAAGATGTTGAAATTGGTTCTCAATGGTTTTGGCTAGCCTGTTGCCCTTTCTCAGACTCCTCTCCCTTGTGGTTTCTCTCTCCCCTTTCCTTTCAAGGTGACTGAGTTTTTAGTAGGTATGTTGGATCCTGCGGCAATTTTTCTAATATAAGGTTTTTTTTTTTTTTTAAAATGATTTCTACATGGTGTAACTTTTTATTTATGTTATAGAATATTAAAAAATTATATCTATAAATAATTTAATTGATATGTATTAACCGTATAAAATAATTTACACTATCATTTAATAAAAATATATTAATATATCTTATAATACAATAAATTTAAAATTTACTGATCTGACGAGATACATGAGAGTAATTAATTATTCAACTATAAATATTAAAGATTTATTTTATTTGATTTAGTAAAACTTTTTTGAAATTTTCAAATTTAAAAGTTTTTTGGTAGCCTAATTTTTCATAACTATTTAAAAAAAACTATTATTTATTTAAGAGTTTTAAAAATTAAGAAACTAAAACATATTTTAAAGGTTTTGTTTTCAAAAAATAGAAAGATGAAAAATATGAAAAATTATTTAAATTTGTAATATTATACCATTTTAAAACAATTTTTAAAAGTAAGATTAAAACTTTTTTATTGTATTTTTTATTTTTCAAAACTGTTTTCAGAATTGATCTATAAATAGTTTTTAAAAAGCTTATTCAAATTAAGTTGTATAACTCGCTTCCTTTTATATTATATACATTTCCCTCATCTTTAACTACATGATGTTATTGAATGTTTTTTTAAAAAATTTATTTTAAATTTAAAGCGCATTAATAATTTGTTAAATAAGAGATCTTTATTAATGTTACATCTTTACTAATTTTTTAAACTCTAGTAATTTATTCAAATTATTTATAATTTACCCAAAGAGATAGAATATATTTTTTTGACATTAAAAAAAGTAATAGTTAAAATAATTTAAAAACAAAAACAGTTTTTTGTTAAAAATTATATAAATAAAGATATATATATATATATATATATATATATATATATATATATATATATATATATATATATATATATATATATATATATATATATATATATATATATATATATGAATGAGTGAGGATCAACTTACTATTATTGTAGAATAAGTTATAAAAACTTATTCTTGAAGTAAGTTGATCCTCACTCATTCATATATATATATATATATATATATATATATATATATATATATATATATATATATATATATATATATATATATATATATATATATATATATATATATATATATATATATATATATATATATATATATATATATATATATATATATATATATATATAGGTAGTGAATGAGTATGTATTTTAAAATCAATGGGGACTAAACCTCAAATGAATAAACATTAAATCCTGGCTGAGATGATACCTCAAATGAAACCATTTCCATTGTTTATGAGAGACCTTATAATTTGTCTTTAACTTTTACCACATCCAAACACATTTTCATATATAAAATATTAATAATATAAAGTCTAAATAACCCATTATGAAACTGGTTTATAACATATAAAATCCTCCACATTGAAGGTATTAGAACACAACAATACAACTTAGCAATACTTATAATAACTTAACTTATTTAAAACTAGTAGACACCAAATGCTTCACTTTACTCCAAATCTTCATTGATGCCATAAAACTATAACTCTTTCATTCCTGCACACATAAACATACAAGAGAAATTTAACCAAAATATAATTGTAATATATGCATGAAAACTATAACAAGAAAAATATTGATAAATTAATACTTACAGTGTTACGTTTAGTCGCTGAAAGTGAACTGGTTGGTGAATTAGGGATGAACCTAGCCCACTGTAATAAAGTTTTGTAGCACAAATTAGGACTATAATAGTTCATCTTGAAAATTTCAACAACTCTAACATATCAAAGCAGTGCTATATATAACCCTAAAACTGTCCTATAAAAAAATAATTAATGATGAAAAAAATTGTTAACATTTTTTGCAGCAGCACTGAAAGCTTCTCTATGTGGGATCTGAGGATTCGCTGCTTTGATGCGCTGTATCTCCTCTCTGTCATACAAAACACATCAAATCAAATTCATTTCTTGTAAATTGCACAGTATGCATATATAAGTATATAACTATATAAATATATATAGTTATTATATAGTTATATTATATACTATATGCTATAGAAACAAAATAAACAGGGTAAGAGAATGTAACAGTGTAACAATCTAGTAGTTGTGGTTGGTTAAGTATAGTTAAATAGTGAAATATATATTTTTTTTTGTTGCACTCACTTCATGAAACGGTTGTAAGCAGAAGGAAGACGGTGTTTCTTCTCTGGTGCTGAAAAAAAATAATCACAAAGTTAAAAAAAATGGATCTTCTATTATTTGAAGAGAATTTAATGAAAAGGGTTGGTTGGTATATGTACGTTTGACAACAAATGGTGGTGGTTTAGGGGACAAAGACTCAGGTGAAGTAGTTGGCGAAGAAGAAGAGGAAGATGACGGTTGTCCCTTTTTGCAACTATAAATTCCCTGGAGAGTGAGGGTATGATCAACAGTCTGAGTTTTGGAATTTGGTGGTCTTGTAGTGAGAAAAGAGAGGTTGCTGCAGTGTCCACACTTTACTGTCACAGTGTCTAGCAGCCTCTTGCATGGTATTCCAACCTATATAAGTTATAACAAACAAACAACATTAGCTTCATGTTTCATCTTTCAACCCTACAAAGGTGAAGAAATTTGTTTACATACAGCGAGGACAGTGTTACAGAAGTTGCAACGGACGTAACAAAGGTGTTGATCAGAAGGTGGAACCAAATCCATGGTGACTTTCTCTTCTAGGTTCATGTTGAAATGGAAAGGGTAGAGGGTGAAGATTGTTGAGATAGGAATTGAAAAGATGAGTGGAGTGAGATATATAGGAATAGGAATAGGAGTTAAGGTCAAAAAGAAGAGGTAGATTTACCACTTAGTCTTATAGTACATGTTGCAGCATTATATTGCATGCTTTATTTGCAGACATGAGCAGCACCATTCACTGACATTAATTAAACCAACCACAATTGCCTTTGCCTATATATACACTTTTTATATTCTATATATATATATATATATATATATATATATATATATATATATATATATATATATATATATATATATATATATATATATATATATATATCACTCAACATGATCCAAATATTGAGCAAAGATAATAATAATACACATAATTATGCATCACCAAAATCAGAAGCCTTAATAGTGCTAATGATATAAGATGGAGCATGATAGAATAAGTAAAAATTTATCCGATTATATGATTAATGCGTACACGTAACAAACCGGATACAATTATTTTACTATAATGTGTTCTTTCAGAACATGTTATCATATTATTCCTGTTTTTGAAAATTAATTTCTTAAAATTTTACAATTATAACAAAAGAAATATTCTAAAAAGTAAAGAAAGTAATTAATAATCTAAATAATTAATCTTAAATTTTTTTATAATATTTTTTTTAAATATTCTCATTTCGATATATTAATTGTTCGTATTTTTATTTTAAACTTAATATCAACTTTTGTCTATTGTTTTATTTACATTTTTATTTTAACTAGAGATGTATAAATCACATTTAACTAGAGATGCATAAATCATATTTACATTGTCATTTCAATACATTTTTTTGCTATTCATATTTAAAAATATATATTATACGAAAAAAATCATTAATTAATTTTTTCCATCTTATCCTACTAATTTATGAAAATTTTAATCAGAGATGCAATATATGATGAGTTTCACGGTTAATTTTAAAATGTCTGATCAAATATTAATCTAAAAAATGAAATGAAACAATTATATCATGTACAACATTCTGATATCATAGGTATAAATATTACTAAAAAAAATTCATTTTAATTTGGAGATTTTATCTCGATTACACAATCGACATAATGAAGTATGCCATGAAAACTTGCCACCTTAACCATCGGTTTTGGAATAACTGAGAAGATAGTTGAAATTATCTTTGGGTTGATCTCCAACTATATTTTTTATTTATTTTCAAGACTATATAGTGCGCACAACATACCTCAATTTTTTATGTTAATAATCCTGAAAAAAAATCAGTATTTACGGCGGTTCGATATAATAATTCAGATGTATAATTTATTTATTTATTTATAATTTGTTTTAAATCTCATTTTGATTGGCCTTTATAACTTTTTTGTACGCTGAAACTACAAATTTTGTGACAAAATTTGATCATTTTATTTTATGCAGAAAATAAACACATAATACCAAATTTACATTGTTTACAAAACCAAATGTGCACATATCAAAAATGGTACACCAAGAGAACCTATACATATTTGAAAGCAGAATCATATAATGCTTATAATGACATTTGGGATACATAAAACCTCTGCAAAGAGAACCTATACATATTTGAATTTATGCATTTTGCACTTATAATTACAAAACATCTATATAATGCTTACAATAACAAGAAAAACTAATGTTGTTTAGATTCATAATAAGAAAGGAAGGCAGCGACCCAACTATATCGGATGTTATATATATTCTCGTTGCTAAACACCTATAATTTGAGCAAAATTTAAGTTATGATAAACTAATAACAACAACATTAACTTAAAAAGTATAAATAAATTTCATGTATATGGATAAAGTTAATACCTTAAGCCATGAACCGATAATGCCTCTAGAGACAACATTTAACATATGTCTCACAACATAGTATCCACAAGAAAAACTGTCGAGTTGTTTTTGCGACTACAAATAGTTTTCATAAAATTACTAATTAATACACACAAAGTACAAGTAATACATTAGCGAAAATAAAAGAATGTCAAAAAAACACATGTAATACTTACTTTTGAAAAAATGAACCTTAGCTTTCTGCCTTGTATATTACGCTTCACAAAATTGTATTCCTCCATAGTCCTACACATCGGTAAAAATTAAACATGAAAAACTATTTAAAAATAAAGGTAAAATTTGAGTATTACAAATAATACAACTTACCCGCTCAAAATATTATGCATATATTTATTAAATTTATAGTGTGACAAGCATAACATAACTACAACATTTTGCTTCAGACATATAATAACTAGTTATCAGTGCGAACAACATAAACATTAAGAATAATTAATAATTTGTATAAAACTGATATATAAATGAAAACCTAAATTAATATGCTTACACATGGTAAAATGGTCACAAATAACAATCTTTATTCTCATCAATCAACTTGATTTGTATGTACGTCTTGATACTGTTTGCTACCATACCATGAAAGTTAATGTTCACTAGATCTAAGAAACAATAATTTCTTAATTTTCTTTCAACAAACATATCATGCCCGAACCTAATTAAAAGTCAATGCAAACGTAAAATCTTTATGTTAAAGTACAAGAACAATGAATATAAGTTGAAATTACTATAAAAATTATACTTACGAGCACAACAATTATAGTACAATTATTTTCAGCCAATCATCTGCCTTCACAAATTCCATAATACAACTCTTAGGAAGTATATAAGCTTGTTCTAGTTCATGTTTTAATTTAAACTAATAGATGTATGGAATCTCCTATATCGTCGTTGATAGTCTCTAGGCGTTATCTACTTGAGGTAGTGTGGTCTCAATATTGTGTTGTAGGACAGAACAACCACCTTTCGTACTTGCACCACCCATAAAAGCTTTCTCAACTACTTTCTCAAATATGTCCAACTGATATAAAATTAGGTGATTGAGTACACCTATTGATTTCAATTGCTGCATCATAAAAAACTGAAGTACACTACAAAAATTAAAATACACAAACAATAACAACAATATATAATAATTTTCTTTAACTTATACTTATACCTCAATCACATCGTGGGTATACTTCTCCTGCACTTCCACGAACAACTTCTCCCGCACTTCCTCAGACAACTTCTCCTGTTCCTCCTCAGCCAACCTCTCTCGCTCCTCCCGGACCCTCTCCCACAAATCCTGCAACATCCTTTCTCGTTCCTCCTATAACATCCTCTCCCACTCCTCTTGCAACATTCTCTCTCACTCCTCCAGATTCACCCACCAACATCCCCCCTAACTCCACCCCTCAATCACATCCTGAGTCCATTTCCCCCGCTCCTGTTATAATACCTCCCCTAACTTTTCAATAATTATCTTTTCAATTTCACTCTTACGATTTATTTCATTAATTGATTACGATGGTCCAAAATGTAACTTTAAGGCGACACCTCTTCCAAGATCAAAGTCACACCCAACATGCTCCTTGGTTCTAACCAATTCTACAAAGATGTCATGACGATCTCGTTGAATAAAGATACCAACTTTGAATTGTTCAACCAGTACATCCTACAACACATATAAAAGTTCATTTTTGCCAAATTGAATTAACTAAAATAAGTAATGTTGAAAAAGTACATACTTACAATCATTTTATCCACTTCGGTGTAGCCTCTTATGTGAATTTGCCATCTTGTCTTTGACATGCCCTTTTCTATTTCTCATGGCGTGATGGCGGAGATGGACTGTGATCAAGGCTTTTAGAAGGATCTCCTAGCTCTAGTTTCTTTTTTTTTTCCTTTTCATTTTTCATTAATCATTTTCTGTTTAAGTTTATCACATCCTCCACGAGACAATCTATGTGGATAGATATTTCTAGCTTTATTCTCCTTTTCTTTTTGGATCTTAGCCAAGAAATCAGGAGTGATACGAGACTTTTCAAAATCTTCTCAAACTTTCTTATCAATAAATAGATACTTCACGTATGAAGGCTTTGATTCATCACTTGCATATATAATACAATCATGTGTGAGGTGTGTCTTAAAGCCCATCCAACACTCATCAGTATATCCAAGCCATTTCTTTTTCCACATTTTATCCTTTGGAACAATAAACATTTCCTATGTTTACATAATAGAGTTAGTATTAGTATTAAAGCAAAAAAGTAAATGGTCATACACACTTGTAAAACAAATCATAAAATTCATAATAAATACCATAATATCGATTCGTTTTCTATCTTTTAAATCAACGTTAATGTCATGCCAATCATCTTACAAAATACTCACCGCTTTCGTAGGCTTTTTTCACCTTGGTCAAAATCTTGGAACCTCTTTTTTTTTTATTTTACTTTTTGTATTAACAGAGGTTATAGTAGAGGTTGTATGAGTGGTGCTTGGCAAATCGTCCATGTTGGTGAATTAAGAAAAATAGTAACATATAACAGAGACACCAACATGAACTTCAAAGCCATATCACACAACACTTCATCCAAAACAATTCAGACCATATAAATATACTAACTTGAAATATGCAGTAGAAAGAGAGAAAAAGAGACCATAAAAACATAATAACTAGAAACATACACAACACTCCATCCAAAATGATTCACAAATTTAAGTTATAAGAAGACACAATATTTAATATTTATACCTTCTAACACATAATTAATAACTCAACACATGATTTATTTCTAACACAAATTTAAACACACATAATAAGGTAATAAAAAGACAAAATATTACTATTTCTAACATATTTATAACACAAATTACAATGACTATTTCTGAAACAAGTTACAAATATATTGCATGAACATGTTTAAAGATTAAAACGACAAGTTATGATAAATCATTTTAAGAAAACCAACATATATGGATAGTACATTTCAGTGGCATTACTATTTCTATGAACATTTCTAAAACTATAACCATTTCTATAAACATTTCTAAAACTACCACCATTTCAGTTAGTACATAACACCATAGTGTGTAACAACATTTCTAACAACATTTCAAT